TTCGACTTTGTTCGTCACGTTTCATTCTGTAGAACAATGACATAATGTGATTCAAGGAACTGCAACAATGAATATGGCCCCCTATATCAAACATATCTTGAATATAATAAATTCGGCTGTTTGTAACGCACACCATAAACCAATCATTTGTTCCTTTGTAAAAACACCAAAACGCTATGTCCCACGAGCTTTGATTGATGTTCCACATGCCCTGACCCTGTGCTCACTCCTTCAATTCATATAAACAATTGACTAATGATATCAATCAAATGATAAAAGCAAGCAAGCAAGAAAGTAATTGTGTTCTTAAAACAGTTTTATTATTGATGAAAGCAGACGCTATATACAATTTGTTTTCTTTGCAAATGGACAAGTAAGGGATTATCGTCTGTGGTGTGTATACATGTCGAGTAGTATGGATGATAACGAGATGTGAGGAAACATAAACATTGTGGAAATTCTTGAAAGGATTTGAGCGAGTGTTGTTGTGTGGATAGGTGCTTAACCGCCGAAACCATAAAGGGTACGGCCTTGACGCTTGAGAGCATAGACAACATCAAGGGAAGTTACAGTCTTGCGCTTGGCGTGTTCAGTGTAGGTAACAGCATCACGGATGACATTTTCAAGGAAAACCTTGAGAACACCGCGAGTTTCTTCATAGATAAGACCAGAGATACGCTTGACACCACCACGACGAGCAAGACGACGAATAGCAGGCTTGGTAATACCCTGGATGTTGTCACGCAAAATCTTACGATGACGCTTGGCACCACCTTTACCGAGACCTTTACCACCTTTACCGCGACCAGTCATTGTTGATGTTATGAATTGAAAAGAAAAAAAGAAGAAAGACCACACGTTGCACGCATTGGTCACAGTCTTTTATAGCTGTGTCTGAATTTGACCAGCACTACAAGCGTTGTCGCGTGTCGCCAATTTTTTTTTATAATCACGCTTCTCCAACCTCCTATTTTTGAGCGCGATTGAATAGCGCGATGAATTCTTTTCCACTAATCATATTGTCTATATCATGGATAATGCTTACAAAATAACCATATTGTATATCAAGTATTCAGTATGATGAAGATACTTGTCATGAACAATCTAAAACAATAACAAGAGCTGTAATGTGTTGATGTCATTGTATTGATCAACATGTAAAGATACGCGATGGGTGTAATATCAATATCAAATTTGGCGTAATTGAAAAAAGATGATGCGCGTACGCGTATTCCATTGTGCAACGTTACTCCGCCATGTCGCGTGCAATAATAACATCATTGTTACACCCATTTATAAAGCAACACTTTCCTTTGACCTATTTTGATTCACTTTTCTTTCTCCTTTACATTCATCAATAATGGCTCGTACCAAGCAAACTGCTCGCAAATCTACTGGTGGAAAAGCTCCCCGTAAGCAACTTGCTACCAAGGCAGCTCGTAAGTCAGCTCCTTCCACTGGTGGCGTCAAGAAGCCCCATCGTTACAGACCTGGTACTGTTGCCCTTCGTGAAATTCGTCGTTATCAAAAATCTACTGAGCTCTTGATCCGCAAGTTGCCTTTCCAACGTCTTGTTCGTGAAATTGCTCAAGACTTCAAGACCGATTTGCGTTTCCAATCCTCTGCTATTGGTGCTCTTCAAGAAGCTTCTGAAGCTTATCTTGTGTCTCTCTTTGAAGATACCAACTTGGCTGCCATTCACGCTAAGCGTGTCACTATCCAACCCAAGGATATCCAATTGGCTCGTCGTCTTCGTGGTGAACGCTCATAAATACGATACATGTTATTCACTTGATACTTCCTTTCCAACACCTATATCGATCATCTGAACACGCACTTATTCCTCATCAACAACACCAGTACATTATCGTTCTCATGTATACATTTTCTATCTTGTAAATTTGCAATATAACGTTTTTCACAGCATAACAACACAATTGGGATCAGCTCTGAATGTGAAATCTATTATTGCTCATGAGGAAATGTGGAAAGGACATTTGCATGCATAAATGACTAGGGCATATACTGGGTATACAAGCAGTGACATAGTGTATGTGATGGGTGAGATTAACATGCTGGCATAAATACAATGCTGGATGCAGGATGATGCTCGAGAATGAGATTGGATGTTCTATGATAAGCTGGTGCAGGTGTCTACTGTTTTTTGTGAAAGAATATCTTCATCATAGGATGGCAAGTGATAGCTTTCATATACTGGTAAGCAATCCTTATGTTCAGTGGTGGATAGGAATTCCGGTACTGGTAAGGTTGGTAATGAGTTATCTGATGATCTATCAAAGACACTTTTGAAATTGGTATAAGGCACAAGATCACAGGGGCCACGAATACCATAACCAAGAGTGCCGATTTGTATGGGGATATCATCAAAGGTCGCACTTGGCCCTGACGATTTAAGTAAACGAGAAAGTAACCCGTTGTTCTTTTGCTGAGCAATGTTTGGCTCCCGAGGAAATATCTTGACGCATAATGAGTACTGGATGGTCATGAGACGACCATATGAAACCGTAGGAATAAGATCCGAAGGAATGACCAATTCCTTTCCCGTTGTTTCGGCTACAGTGGTTGTGATCATGTGCTTCCCATTGGCACCGCGTGTACTGATGGTTGTCCGCAGCAATGCCATTTGACATCTGCAATCTGTTGGGGACACAATGTGTGGCGTTATGCAATCACCTGCCACATAAGTCAATGATTCCAATTCGATCCGAATCATTGGCTCAGATCTATTATTGCTGCTGCTGTTGCTGCGGACCGATGATGATCCAGGCCAGACCTTGCCGATCATAAATGGTTGCGTAGGCTTGGTGATACGAGTTTCAATCAATGGCGTGTATGATAATGGGCATTCGGCCGCAGCAATTAATTTGTCATCTCGTGTCTCCAGATATGCTTGTAATCGAAACTTGCAGCAATACACATTCTTGATTAATATCGAAGGAGGAAACTGTACAAGTGGCATTTGGATTGTGAATGGAAAATCCTGTATACGATCATTGGTATCTTGATATGCACCGGTTTTACAACGCCATAAAATGCGTTGTGTTCCAAAAAATTGTTGACGTTCACATTTTGGACCATTGTATGACTCGGTGGGTTTTGATAACGCAAGCGCTTCGGATGCATGAAAAAGTACGCGTAAGCGATCAATCTTTTCAATGGGCTGATGTTCTGGTAATTCGACTCGCACATATCCTGCAAGTTGGAATATATGACATTACTAACAAGCTTATATACAACGCAAGCACCATCAATAATGCACTACCTTGAAAAGCTGATCCTGGTCCATACACAGGCTCACCATCGATAGTCCATCCAAACTCTGGTAGTAAGTGTATGGATATATTGATCTTATCCGGTTGAACTGACATTTGTATACGATAGGGAAAAGAAATGCTATGCAGTACAAGTTGCCCTTTATAAACACGAATCCAAAAAACCAGTGCTTGTCGCCAAGTAAGGACATGCTCTTGTCCCAACTTGGCACAAAAAAAATGATCGTCGCTGGTATCAGCTGAATGGCACTATAACCCGGGGGAATTCAATTCAGCCAAGCTCTAGGATCAAGCTATGTGTCACCGTGATCCATGTGTGGGGAAAGCATCATTGTAGCTTATTTCAAATATGAACAGCGTATATAAAAGTACATCCAGCATGCTGAAGCACATTTAAACTTTGTGCCTGATATGCAGCACTTGCAGCAATATGCAGGGTGTACATCACTACTGATAATGTCAATAGGCCTTGGCAGCTTGCTTGGCATCACCATCATGGATGAAAAAGATTGTCGTCATCTCAGGTGACACAACAAAAATCTTGTCCCCACAGCAATGACTCAGATCATACTAATCCATGCACTATAATTGTGCTGCAAAGAACAATGCACGTCATGGTTGCCACACTTGGCTCACGTTTCAAAAAATTACTTTTCAGTGATTGAAGTCTTGCCTTCTCAATGACACTTTTGCTAATCCATACTGCTCATGGTATTAAATGAAATGGATATCTTGTCGAATGTGTGAATGAAGCATGAATATTCGCTGTTGATCAATGATCGATTCAGTTAACCTGCTGTTTTATCCATATCCAAGTAGCGCTCTTGATCTTCTCATTGTGGTGAAATCAATGTTAAACTGTAGATACAATACTTGCGTAAAGGTAAACACATTGCTGTGCTACACCACATGATAATAAAGACGACACAAGGTCAATAATGCGACCATCTGGCTGAAGCTCAGGCATTGATTAGCTTCTGCATATGTCTCATCCCATCACTACACGTTGTCCCATTGTTGTACATAAGACATGGCATTGTTTGACAATAGAATAGATGTTCCTAGTGGGAGATAAAACACATGAAATTGTTTAACCATTGACATGTCATTGTTGAAAACTGATGCAAAAGTATGACAGTGTGTGCTCTCAAGATATATTAACAGCATGCTTAACGCAGGAATGATGTGAAAGCCGTTAATAACACTTCTTCACTAACATGAGTCATGTCGAACATATTGAAGCTTCTTGATCGACCATGTTCTTGCGCATTATTTTTGGCCTTTGACATATCTGTGGCATGCAAATATGACATCCACATACATCTGAAGATATATCCCTTATCCCTTAGACACTTCACAGTATAGCATATATATAGCATACATGGAGACATAGCAATAAAGTAGCGGAAAACGGTCTCACTGTATCTTTTCTTGCTATTCATTTTATTGTTTTCACACGCACATCACAATATCTTATCCTGAGCCTGATATCTTCCACTTTGCTACACCATACACTTCGTATCCATTTCGATGCTTATGAATAGTAGATTGTTTAGTAAAATGAATCATTATTTTGCTGTGTTTACCCGTGGCGAAACCCTTCTTGCATTCAATGCCAAAAAAAAAAAACGAAAAGATCACGTGATCTATAGGGAAGACAAAAGAAAAGGTTATCAAACACCATTTCCTTGAAAGGAAGGAATACAATGCCTATTACTGGAATCGAACCAGTGACCTTCCGCTTACTAGGCGGACGCTCTGCCAACTGAGCCAAACAGGCTATATGATTTCCAGATTTTAAAATGTATAAAGACTCATTTATTTTCCTAATTTGGCACTGGGGGAAATTCTTCGTTTTTCTCGTTTTTATGCCGTTTCAAAATGCCGTTTTCATGCCATGTTTTGGTAGTTTTTATGGACATCGGGATTTACGACCAGAATTCATCTTAAAATGGAAGGATGAAGGTGCTGGCTTTCATTCTATTACTTTTTAAAGCTGTTTTGTG